AATATGATTTGGCCTAGGATTTAAAAGTGCATGCATGAGCAAATTCACCTACATAAAAATAATTCTAAGTGTGAAAAAAATGAGGAAAGAGCTCGTCTATTTAACTTGAGCGTGTATACCTCATGGGAACTCGGAAAGAATGCGTTTTACAGATTTATTTTCTCATACTTTAGGGATTCTAAGTAAAAAATTGTCGCAACGCGAAAATTTTGCGATCATCGCAGCTCGTAACGTAACTTTTTTCTTACGTACTTACGTATACGTCTTACGTTTTTTTCTAATTTTTTTTTTGGCATGTTGAATCAATCCGTCAATTTCAATGGAAACAGCTTTAAGGAAGCATTGATTTTAATTTCGTGCTTTATGTGACCGACCTGCGCTGGAGTCGGATATTGTTGTGTGTAACATATTTTTCATAGAATTCCTCTTCCTCTGTGATCTCTTTTTGTTGGTACCTATAGTGACAAATATCCGATAACTAAGTCTATGATTATTCATACTCCTCGAAGACATATTTTGACAGGCAACAAGGTGACAACTCACGCTTTAATATTTCGTAGCATGTCATCAACATAAAATATTTTTGTTTCTTTTCTATTTTTTGAAAATTAGGAAGGCAAGAAAAACAATAGAACAAGCTCCTCAATTGCCATTCTTTTGTTACGGAAATGCCCTACAAATTGCATAAATAGCTCATGATTCTAAGAATAAAATGTCTGTCGACGAAACCGTAGGTAGGTTGTCAGGCGTTAATCTTCAATCGGACCGGATAAAATGTTAAGCACCACATTAACAAGGCGCCGCGACTATTAGTCCGCAATGAGTTCAGATACAATTTTAAACGCTCCAATTCCTTTTCGGTTCAACACACATCTAATATCCAACATACATAAAATATCATTCGTTTGCCAGTTTCAAAGCTATTTTTCTTCGAATTTTCGCGGCCCACGCCACAAGGGAGCGGGAGCCCTCACCACAAAATTTTCCCCCCTTCCGTCTCATCAATTTTCCAGAAGTATTTGGACGTATTTTTGCCAAACGGAACTATGTGCATTGAGACATAAGCTCTAAGACTCATAAGAATGTATGCATACCAGGGCTTACGTCTTAATGCACATAGTTCCGTTTGGTAGAAATACGTCAATTCATGGAAAACTCTACTTCCGTCAGGGTGTTCCGGATGGATTAAACAGCTCTCTCGATTCCTTACGATTGAATTGAAATACTTTAAGAGGCATGAACAGAACATATGAGTAGCTTGGAGGACAAGGCGCATAAGTGCACTTTTCGATAAAATTGAGATATTAATGCTTTCAAGTAAAACTAGTCTTAATTCGTATTCTGTGAAAAATTCGCTCCCAAATTTCAATTTTTAGGCATCCAGAAGTCAGTTTGAACTTTCTCTCCGCCGTAAGGATCTATGTACCTAATTTCGAAACTTCAAACACGTATTTCTCAAAGTAGCAAAAACTGCACTTAAGCCCTTCACATGAGGTGTTTTATTAAAGCATAGGAACCATAAGCTGAAGCTGCAGGGAGGGTGAGAGATTAGAACCACCTGGGGGGTGGAGGGGTGCAGAAGACGAACAATTTCCTTATTTTTCCATGAAGCTTCGTCTGCCTGTAATAGGTAGTATGAAAGCGGGCGCGTCCTGATGGAGAATCCATGTCTCCATCATGTCTCGCCACTTCTTACTAATGTATTCCCGCAGTTACATTAACGAATAGTGGTAGTGCTCTTTAATATTAGTCACAGTTTTCTTTTTGTCGGTCCTATTTCTTCCTCGGCGTTCTGTTTCTACTTTTCAACAGCATTAATAAATAATTACCAGTCCTCCTGGGAACTGTCGATTTTCCGAATCTCTTCGCTCTCAGAAAAAAATTCAAAACCCTTCAGGGGTCAGCGCTCTCTAGAACGCGCGATTTTCCGGATTTAGTTCTTCCCTGAAAAATATGGTAACGGTTTTTTAAGCGAGTCAGCCCGACATGCTATCCTCCAAACTCTGTGGCTCTGCGCCTGAATGGCACGAAAAACAAAAGCAAGTAATGGACCTCTTGCATGAGTGCATGAGTGGGGTGTGTGATTCAAGTATTCTTTCCTGAGTAAAATTTCGCGGAAAACACGATGGTGCCACTGGTTTTCTCTGGAAAAAAAAAAAAAAAAAAAAAAACGCCAGAACTCAAAGCGAGCCCTCAAAGTTGAGGCCGTAATGGAGGGGATATCCCGCGCTATCCTGACAGTCCACCTCTATTCTAGTCAAACTCTCCATGCACAGATAGGGAGCGAATACATTAACAGGATTGCCACTTTGTTTAGGGACTCCAAAACTGAAAACATGGCAACCCTGTTAATGGAATTGTTCCCTATCTTTGCATGAGGAGTTTGACTAGATACCAGTACCCCAGAGCCGAAAGGTGCCTAACTCACATTTTTTTTAATAATCGAGTATGTGGCGTTTTCGAAATCTCTTTTAACGGTTTCGTGTGTGTGGAAAAGTTGGTAGCCCTATCTCACGCCGGTTATGAGATACGGGGTCTCAAAAATTGCGATTTACATTGGAATCGATGGGGCCGACGCGGTTTTTCTCTGATGTCAAAAAGGCTCTGGGGTACTGATATACAGGGTGATGCAGGGTCAAGCAGCCAGACTGCAGGAGCCGAAACAACCCTAAATCCCCGCTTCTCATTGAGATTTCGATTTTTTTAGATCATTTATGAATTCAGGGCATAAAAGTACAGGGGATTACACATTTTCATGAGATTTGGTTCACAAACATTGCCAAAATTCAGGAGAAACGATTTATTTTCCGAAATTCTGGGTGGTCTATAGCTCCGACTGAGGGCACTTTCGGATAAAACTTTATCCAACTACAAAGTCTCATTTTGATCCATAGAACACGCTCCTGCAGTCTGGCCGTTTAACCTTGGATCACCCTGCAGAGGTGGAATAGGATAGCGTGGAATACCTCCTCCACTACGGCCTCAATTTTTTTTCAATTTTTTGAGTTTCGGAGTTTCTTTCAAAGAAAGCCAGTGGCACCATCGTGTTTCCAGCGAAATTATAACTAAGAATCAGTATACTGAAATCGCGAATTCCTGACTTACAATAAGGGCTCCGATCGACAAGGGTGGATTCTCAGGATAGCGTGGAATATCTCCTCTATTAGGTACGGCCTTAATTTTGAGAGTTTTTTTAGTTTTGGAGTTTGTTTCAAAGAAAGCCAGTGGCATCATCGTGCTTCCAGCGAAATTTTAGATAGGAATTAGTACTTAAATCGCAAATTCGTGACACATATAGGAGCTCATTCGACGGGCGATTCAGATCAATTGGAGCATAGCACGTCGAAAATCTTCTTGAACAAAGTTCAGACTTTCGGAAAAAAACCGTATCCAACAAAAAAGTCTAATTTTGACCCATAGAACACGCTCCTGCAGTCTGGCCGTTCAACCCTGGATCACTCTTTAGAGATGAACTCTCAAGATAGCGCGAAATATCCCACCGTTATGGCGTTAATTTGTTTCTGAATTTTGGAGTTTGTTTCAGAGAAAATCAGTGGCATTATCAAGTTCCTAGCGAAATCTTAGATAGGAATCAGCACTTAAATCGCAAATTTCTGACACATACAAGAGCTCATTCGACGGGAGAATTGGAGCATAGCATGTCGAAAATCTTCTCAAACAAAGTTCAGAGTTCTGGAGTAAAGCTAGCTGCCACACACAAGTAGACGTCACAACCTTCGATCACCCTGTAGAGGTGGACTCTCAGGATAGCGTGGAATACCCCCTCCATTACGGTCTCAATTTTGAGATTTTTTTCAGTTTTGGAGTTTGTTTCAAAGTAAGCCACCATCGTGTTTCCAGCGAAATTTTACATACACGGAGAAAAGAACTTCGTGCGTAGGACCCGAAGTTGAGGTCGTACGGATCTCTGAAGTTTTCGGATCACGTATCTAAAAACTTGAGGTCCAGCTGCCGAAGTTCAGGTCAGACATCTGAAGTACCCCTAGTAGCAGAACCACAGAAGGAAAAGATAAATATTATGTACGAAAGTTAATTTTTTTTTATATAATGTATGCATATAAAAGTGTTGAAAGTGAACATTTTTATGTAACCATTATATAAAAAAATGCTATAATTTTTCTGAGTTTTTCGCGAACATATTAAAAATTCTTCTAATTCCCAAAAATCTCACGAAAATGATGACCTATTTTTTTATATAATGGTTACATAAAAATGTTCACTTTTAACACTTTCGTATGCATGCGTTATATAAAAAAATAAAAAATGTGTGTATAAAAAAAAATTACCGTATCTAGCTTTTATCATTTTTCATGTATTACGGTCAGGTCTGAACTTTGATTTTTTTTTTATATGAGCGTTACACCTTTTTTATATAAAACGATCATTTAGATAACAGATATGTTTTTTTTATACTTTTTTTAGAAAAACAAACATTTGTTCTGCTACTAGGGACCTCGATATATAGGTACCGAAGGGTTCGGGGACACACATGTGAAGTACTCCGTGTAGGAATCAGTACTTAAATCGCAAATTTCTGACACATACAAGAGCTCATTCGACGGGAGAATTGGAGCATAGCACGTCGAAAATCTTCTTAAACAAAGTTCAGAGTTCTGGAGTAGGGCTAGCGGCCACACACGCCCAGACGTCAGCGGCGGCTCAATGGTCCGTTAAACGGGCCGGACGGGAGACGCTGGAAGGCGGCGGAGTGACGCGTCGCGACGCCACCAGCGCGGTGGCAACCGGTGCAATGATTCGCGGTGACCACGGTCTAGGTCGGGGTCGCCTGGGAGCCGCGGGTGCGACGCCTCGCGACGCGACCGACGCGCTGATCTTCCTCGATCCGCGATTCCACGCTGATGTAGTCATCCCCAGCCCCCCCGTGCCCCCCGCGCCGAGCCCCGACCTCGAGGATGCACCTGTTGCCATGGTTACAAGCCCTAACGCTTCGAAAACATGTATATGTAGCGTCGCGCCGACCGCAAATCACTTAAACGCCTCTTTAAGCTTTTCCACTTCCGGCCGGGGGCTCACCGGACCGCTCGCTCGCCTAATTTTCAAAGCTGACTTTTTACTCTGTGCTAATTTTAAGTATTCCGTTTGATCTCAATTGTAATCGCTCCTTTTTCAGTTCCTTAGAGTTAGAATTTTGAGAAATTTTGGGTGGCCTACGCGTGTGGTTTAGACGAATAGCTTCGTGTCCTGCGTTCAAGTCTCTGTGAGCAGGAGGGTTTTTCCAAAGTGTTTTCAAGACGGTTTTTGGTTCGGTCTGTTCATGCAGTAAAGGATTTTTGATCATGTAAGTATTTTTATTATTTCAATTTATTCTTTCAAATTTTTTTTTTTTATATTTTACCTACAAAATTTTTTGACTTCAAATACCAGAAGTGTCAATGCCCCGTGTTCGTTATGCTAATTTTATGTCCGTCTTGTTTTACGCGGTTAGACCCCCCCTGATGGCATCTTAAGGGAGGGCGGAAGGGGGGAAATGACCCGCCAGCGCATCAAGTTCAAGACGCTAACTGAGGAGGAAGCAGCCTCTAGGATGAGGAATTCTTCCTGTTCGGGATTTTATGAGCATACTTTATGTCCTTTAATGTTGGTATATGAACTTATGACCCCCAAACAGATTCAAAATGAACCTTGAATTTATCAGCCAAAATGTCTCATAATTACCTGAGGAAAGATACTAATAAATAGACCTTCCCTCTCCACGGGTCAAAAAGTGACGACCGTTTTATTTTTCAGCAATTCAACTTATCTCTTTAAATAAAGGGACATTAAATTGTTAAAGTTGAGTCGAGATTTTATGCGATAGCATTATAATGCGCCGCTTTTTCCTCATGAACATTTTTATCCTGCCGTTGAATCCCTTCCCCTCACTGAAAGCGCAGGGAGAAACATTCTATGCGTGATAGGAGGGAGGGGGGGCGAAGGCCCATTAACCTCTTTTACGCGGTCCTCAAGCATGAGCGACCACACATACGATCGAAAATTTTCTGAAAGGTAGGCCTCCCAGGACCCCCTCCCCCTACCTACACACACCCCCTCCACCCTCAAAGTTATCTGCAATCCTGGAAAATCCCCGCAGGGAGCGGGCCCTTCGTAGTATAGTACGGCGGCAATCAGACTGAACCAGGAAGGTCACTACCGGAGAGAGTAGAGTATAAAAGTAGGTCAAGGTCATCCTGGATGCACTTCAAATACTTTCCTCGTGCAATCTGCAATTCACACTCTTCTTCCGGTCGCGTCATATCCCGGTGAGGGAGATAGAGGAGTGAACGGGCGGGGGGGGGGGGGGGGGGGNGGGGGGGGGGGTGGCGTTAAAATGACGCATAGCTCGATCCGCACAGTAGGACTTCCATTTCAGAAAAGTTAGACTGGAAAGTGAAAAGAGAGTGCGTCGGTATGCGTATTTCGCATGTGAGGCAATGGAGGATAGGGACGGTAAAAAGGGATGAGTAGAGGCGAGGTGTTAAAACCATAAACTGTTCGGTCAGAATGATGGATGGTGCATTAAGCGGAGGAATGCCATCTGAATCGGCGTACGCTGTGCTCCTTGGCAATGGTGAACCTTCACGCGATGGAAGGCTCACGCCGCTAAGATTGAAGAGCGCTGTCCAATTAGTGCGGTAATTGTGTATCTATGAGTCCACATAAACTTCTTTGATGATGAGGGGGGGGGGGCTTGAAGAACTCTACTGTTTCTGATTTCCTTGTATTTGAAAGTTAACCATTTTTAATAGAATTCCCTGATTATCAATCAGTGGTGTGGCTTGAATTGCCATACATCGATTGTTATGCCATTTAAAACTATGGTAAAGAATCGATTATTAAGGTGTTCGCTGCGAACACCCTGTTTATCGATCCTTTTCCATAGGTTTATAGGGCATGACAATCGATATATTGCAACTCACGCCACGCTACTGTTATCAATCAACATAGGCCCATACTGCCGTGCTAAGAAAAAACGCTATATGAACCTTTAGACGTTGCTAAATCTTCTTTTGATAAAACACGAATTTTTCGGTTAAGTTATGAATTTTTTTCTTCCAATTTTTTGGATAATTTTGTTCGCAATTTCACCTAAATTTCCTAAAAATTTCAAGAACAAATATTCGCAACTCTCCTAAAAAAAAGAAAGTTTTATCGGAGGAAATTTGGCAACTCCCAAATGTTCATCCGGCGTTTTTTCTTAGCACGATAGAGGTATTTGGTTTTTCGGTCGTCCATATATAACGTCAGGTAAATCCTCCAATGCTTTTACCCCTCCTACCCCTCTTTTCAACCCTCTCACTCCCATCCTCCTTGAGAGGGATTTGTCAGGCAGTTCTAGATCACCCACCCCCTTATGTGCTTAACATCACCCATGGACGGTTCTTAAGCCGTAAACTTTCGTAAAGTTTTGGCTCTATGAGCTTTTTCCTATCAAAATACATGAGTTTGCCATTCATCTAAAACATCAGCTCCATGGAATCATAGAAATGATAAACCCATGCAATTTTTGATGCCATACACTGCCACTTTTACTCGCCAGTTTTAACTGAACGCCAATACATTATCATCTACCCTCAAGTACCGCTCTTTTTGACTTTTTTAAATGCAAAAAAGTCTTCCTCAGACAGTTATTTTGTCAAAATTTTAATCAGAAACTTAACAGAACTTAATTCTATTCGCGGAAAGGACGCCTCACAGAGGAAATAGTGTTCCGGGGAAGGGGTGGGGTCAGAATTCTTAAAATAATGTAAAAAATGCAAGTATCTTGTCTAACGTAAAAATCATCACTAATTATCAATTCTTAAGGTTTGGGTACTTTTTGAAAAAACCGTTAGAGACCGATTATAACGGGCCGTCGACTGACCGAATTACTTCTGTCAGTGCGCCAAATGAAGAATGTTCAGTGGCGTCGTAAATAAAGGATTGGAATGTCTAGAGCGAGCTTAAAAGCTTCGAAGCCTCGTCCCCTCTGCGTCCCTCCCTCTTTAAAGCGCTTCGAGAGATTTGGAACGGCACTTCTCCCAGAGGTGGCTTATTCAAAGGGAAACCTTTGAAAAATGGGAATCCAGAGTCCTTCCTCAGAACTTATACAAATTCAGCATCACAAAGTTCGGCTCACATTTTTGCAATTTGATTTCAAAATCGCTAATCCAATCTAAGGTATCCCCCTTTTCCCATCCCTCTCACTCCGAATCAGTGGCGTGGCGTGCTTTGCGATACATCGATTGATCTGCCATTCAAACTAATAGAAAAGGATCGATAAGCAGGGTGTTCGGAACGATATCTTAATATTCGATTCTTTACCGTAGCTTCAAATTGGAAATATCGATAGGTAATCGATCATTCACGCTTCGCTGCTGCCAAATTTTTTTTTAATTTTGCCCACTTGTTTTTTTTTTTTAACGTTCTCGAGGCACTTTCAAAATATTCATATATGCCTTCCATCGGTGGACACCGTATGGATGGTGCCAGTGTATTTTAAATTTTCAGTTCCCTCTCCTCCTTTTCTCTCGTTTTTCAAAGTACATATCTCTTGGTTGTTTTCAAAATATTATTTTGAGTTTTTTATCCCCGCTTTTGAAAGGTTTGCTCGAAAATCGTGTAAAATCATTTGTAAATGTTTTTATAGAAACAATTTTTAAGAAATATGTACCTATCGCCGCCAATACTGCCGTGTCAAGGAAAAACGCCGTATGAACCCTCAAGCGTTGCCAAATTTCCTCTGATAAAGTACGAATTTTATGGGAAAGTTGTAAATATTTTTCTTCCAAATTTTTAGACAATTCTGTTTCCAATTTAACCTTAAGGTGATTTGATGGACGCTATATTTTTTGTCAGAACGGCATGCGATATATCGCATCAATTGGTTCCATTTTTTCAGCTACTCGTCATTTTTCTCCAAATTTGAGATCGCAATTCTGTTGTCAGGAGACTACAGTACTCACTTACCAATTTTAACAAAGAAATTCAACATAATAAAGGCGTGGATGTTTCAGAGAGAAAATATCGCATTCGAGTGCAGTTTCGATATCAGTATCGAATGCGATATTTTCTCTCTGAAACAACCACGCCTTTATACGTTGAATTTCTTTGTTAAAATTGGTACCTAAGTGAGTGCTGTAGTCATCCTGACAACAGAATTGCGATCTCAAATTTGGAGGAAAATGACGAGTAGCTGAAAAATGGAACCAATCGATGCGATACATCGCATGCCGTTCCGACACGAAATATGGCGTCCATTGAATCACCTAATATCTGAAAATTTCACAGAAAAATATTCATACACTCTACTCAAACTTTCATGGTATATCTAGGGAAATTTGGCAACTATCGAGAGTTAAAGTTACGGTGTTTTCCCTTAAGTTGAATAAGTCCCTTAATAAGTTGAAAATATTTCGTTCCGACCAGCGGACTGATTATTGAAATTGACAGACAAAGCTATAGACAAAGAAGACATAAGAAGTACAGAGCGATCCTATCGGTTGAAATGGGTAGTTCTTATAGACTAAGGGAGAAAATGATGGACTAACTATCGGGTCTCTCGTGGGTTGCCGTTAGTTAGTCTATTACCTACGTCCTTTCTCCATTGCAACCACCCGCTTCCACCAATAGGATCCCTCCATATTCTTTTTTCCCTCTTTGTCTATTGCTTTGTCTATCAATTTCAATAATCAGCCCGCTGAGGTGTTTCGCCGTAGCCCATATGACTGAAGAGAGTTCCTCGCTCACCGTGTGAAATTCCGAACACCGATTTCCTCCCCGGAGGACGAAAGACGTAGAGTACCTATATTGAGAGAGTATGGCCACTGGGCCCCATGGAGAGGCTTAGGACCCAAAAATGGCGGTGCTTTGTTTTGGTTTTTGTGGATGGGAGGGGGGTCATTGCCAACTTTTGACGGTTATCACCAACCGCACTTGCTGCCAACCTTACTACATCTAAGATAATTTTTCTCAAAAATTGCACACGATTAGCCTTAAAAATATGTAAAGATGTCGCAACAGTGCATTTGAGTAAATTTCTCGTTACGATAAGCAAAGAAAACTACATTTTGAGTCATTTTACATTGCATTAATTTAAGGCGTCCGCCATTTTTGGGTCCTAAAGGGCTCCATTCAGCCTGAGATGGCTGAGCCAATCAGAGGTGGTAACGCCAGTGGCCATACTCTCTCAATATAGGTACTCTACCTGGAGGACGAAAGACGGAAAGCATGTCGATTTGGCGATGGTCGAAACGTACTCTCGCAAATTGAATCCGAAGCTCCGATCGGAACTATTCGAGTGCCGTTAATCGAACGACCGGC